AAAATTTAAAATGGGACTGAGCTAAATCTTTGGATGGTCTTACATCGAACATACAAACGAACCACCAAACATACAAACGAACATACGTTCGAACTTGAGTGGATTTTGGGAGAAAAGAAGTTCGATCGATTTTTTTTTTGATTTGATTAGATCTTGATTTTAGTTTTGAATTTTCATTGGATTCTTTCTTTTATACTTTCTTTTCTTACTTGGGGTCGCATTTCTTGTAAATTTTCTTGGTTCCTGAGTTTTTCTTTTCTTTCTTTTATTGCATTGCCAAATTTTTGATAAAGAATTCTTGGAAATTTTCACTCACCACACACATTTTATATCCATTGTCGAAAGCGCTTTCTCGGACGAAACTTGCGGTTGAAAATGTACACTACAAAAAAACCAAGAAAATCACATATAACACCCACTTTTCTTTTAGGAGAAGAACATTTTCACTTCTCTTTGTAGAGAGGTTATGTACGGTCGAAACAAAATCACTCGAACCACCTTTTTCTCATTCCGCTTATTTCTTCTTTTTCTCTCTTTTTTTTCCCTTTCGGATTTTAAAAGTTATGAAACTAAACCTATTCACTACAAAAAAATAACTTAACTTAAATTAAAAACGCCGAACCACATATTTTCCGTGAGTTAAACGCCTTTTTCGCTTTTCAGCCTCTGGGCCAATATACAGCGTGGCCGTTGGCCTACGCCGATCTCTACCGGGAAAACTTAGGTCCGGTGCACGAGAGGGTTGCTGAACACTTGTCGCGAAACTGGCTCACTTTCCAGCCCTTTTCCGCCGGAAAAACTGGATCTTCTTCTGTTTTTCTTTCTTTGAATTTCGCCTACGCTTCACGGAGCAAAACTGAGCGGTTTCGAACACGCTTGCCTCGGGACTGTCCGCTCAAGCCGAAATGTTCTAGGTTTGACCCCCTGAGTGGAACTCAAGCCCCGCTTTGAGCTTTTTGCTTGTGTCTATAACAATTGCCATTAAAACGCAAAATAAATATGTTTCTGCAAATCGCTGGTTCTGGCTGCTGGTTCTTTCCGCCAATTTGGATTGTCTTCGGATTCTCTTTCGTGGCACGGTAAAATTTATATAGGCGCCAAGCCTCCATGGACTCAGCGCTGGCAACAAAAATAAACCGCCGCGTTTCCGATCTTCAACCTTAGCCGTTGGATATAACTTCGCACTTGCAATTTTTTTGACTAAACTTATTGCCGCGCACAACTGACCTTAACACGGTGTGAAAGAGGAATCAAGGCTATAGACGCCGGTCTTTTGGCGCTAACCCTTGCCGAGACCTTTGTTCGGAGAGACAATGCCCCATAACATGGTTGACATTTCACCCTGTTACTCTCCTCCGAGTCTTTCTATGCCCCTTCTTAGTTCCACCATCGTCTCTTAGATGGCACACCTATCAAGTCTCTTTACCCTTCAGATACAAGCGTTACAATAAATACTACTATTGTACGTCGAAGGACGGAATTTATAAAATTTTTTCCATAAGAACATAAAAAGTAACAAGTATTTTTAACAGGGACCGTAAATAATCATTATTTGAGATTTTTATTTTAAAAAGACTACTGTGATATTTTGTTTTAAACGTCAAAAATAACGTTCCTTTTACTCTTGCATACAACGTGTATGCATTTCAACAGATCTGGAAAGCAAATGAACTGTAATTTGGTCATGTCTATAAAGTGCATAAAAACCAGTTAATTGGTTGATTAAAACTTGTAAAAAACTCAGAAGGCCTTTAAAATTTTTTTTTTATTTAGGGTCCCTGATTTTTAAGTCACTCTTACGTAACGAGTTTGTCTAGATTTCACACAGTAGGTTCTTCAAAGATAACAGTGGCGTAGCCTTAAAATTGTGGGGGGATTTTTTTAGGCATATTAACCCCTTAAAAGTATAATTTTTCTATGTTCGGGGCTTATATACGTCTATATTAACATATTTTAATGCCAATAGGCCTGTACCTTTTAATAAAGTCCATTTTGTTGACTTATGTTATATTAGTCGATTTAGCGTCGCTTGTGAACGGTTGTGTTTACCTGTGCTCTGAGTTTTTGATTTTTGTGATTCTTTCGCAAGTGTTTTGTGTTTAGCTTACTAACAAAGTTTGCCTAACAATCGCGTTAGTTTTTTAAATAGATCTCCCTGTTTAACGGGTATGTGTTCATTAGATTTGTTTAATATCTTGGCTTTGTTGGTGTTATTTTGCACTCTCTAAATTTGCTCTTGTATTCTCTCTCTTTCTCTCTCTCTCTTTTCCGCTCTATTATAACTGTAATTTCGCTCTCTCGGAACCTGGCAAATTTCTTGTAGACTCTTGGGTGCTTTTCTCATAGTCTCTCTCTCTATCGCTTTACATTGTAACTGTTCGTTCGTTTAGTTGTTGGTGCCCACAAGCCACGCTCAGTCGATTGAACACTTTTTCTCTCGCGCTCTTTTGCTCTCGACTTAATTTGCGATCTCGCGCTCTTATACTTTCGGGTTTTGTGTTTTTTGCGGTTTTGGAATTTGATCCCAGTGGCAAATTTACTCGAGGTATATTTTCCACATTTTATTTTCTATTTCTTTGAATAACCTTTTTATACCCTTGCAGAGGGTATTATGATTTCAGTCAGAAGTTTGCAACGCAGTGAAGGAGACGTTTCCGACCCCATAAAGTATATATATTCTTGATCAGCATCACTAGACGAGTCGATCTAGCCATGTCCGTCTGTCCGTCTGACCGTCTGTCCGTCTGTCCGTCTGTCTGTTTCTACGCAAACTAGTCTCTCAGTTTTTGAGCTATCGAGATGAAACTTTCCCAAAAGTCTTCTTTCTATTGCAGGTAGTATATATGTCGGAACCGACCGGATCGGACAACTATATCTTATACAGGGTTGCCCATATTCGACGGACCCATGTTTTTTTTTAAATCAAAGAAAAAAATAAAAATTTGGCGGTTGGCAATCTTAATCATTTAATTTGTTCCAAGTAGATTTGTTTACATCAATTTTTGAATATGATATCTTTCAAATGGCCGCCTCTGGCGTTGATGGCGTATTGTGCCCTTTTTGCAGCATTTTCCATCGTTTTCGCCAACATTTCGGCCGGAATAGCGGCTATTTCTTCACGAATGTTGTCCTTGAGCTCTTCTAGGGTCCTTGGCTTGTTAACGTAAACCTTTGACTTCAAATATCCCCACAAGAAGGCGTCAAATCGGGCGAACGCGGTGGCCAGTCCACCGCCACGCTGAGTTTTCACAATTGACTTGTTCTGTTGAATGTAAATTTCAACTATTTCAGAGCGCTCGCGTGGCGTGTATTGTTCCATGGTAAAAATCTGCTTGGACTGACGCTTCAAACGCGGTATGTCATTAAGCGATCTGGCATCTCTGTCAAAAGTTATGGCGTCGTCAGATGGGTCCGTCGAATATGGGCAACCCTGTAGCTCCCATAGGAAGGATCGGAAAAGAAAACGTTAAAAAAATTCTAGCTTCGGTGTTTTTTGAAATATTACCTTCTACTTTTGGGGATGTTATTTTTTAAATATTTCTGAATTTCGAATTAAATATTTAAAAAATCGGACTAATATGTCATATAGCTGCCATAGGAACGATCGGAAAATTAATGGAAAAGTAATAGGAAATAAATTCTAGCTTCCTTGGTTTTTATTGTATTATCTTCTACTCTAGGATATGACTCTTTTTAAATATTTCCGAATTTCACTTTTAATTTGATCAAAATCGGACGTCTATATGATATAGCTGCCATAGGAACGATCGGAAAATTAATGAGATTAATGAAATTATTTGAACATTTTTGCGATTTGTTAATTAATAAAAATGATCTGCGAGGGTATTTAAGCTTCGGCTGGCCGAAGCTAGCTTCCTTTCTTGTTTATCTTTAAAATGGCCCTTATCTGTACAGAGAAAAGTTGTGCTCTTCCGATGTCAACCAAAGATTCTTTTATTATCTGCTGGCTCTGCGATTCGGTCATGCACGTCAAATGTGCAGGATTTACTGGCAGAGTTAAAGACTTCATTGAAATGCGTACCGGTCTCATGTGGGCATGTGAGTCCTGCAAAGAAATGACAGTTGAAATGAGCAGCTTTATGAGGCAGACTCGAGACGGACTATTGAACCTTTCACGAGTTTTCAAACAGCTCAATGACGGGTTCAACTTAGTTTGTGACCAATTTAATAACAAGAAATTATTATTAACCAAGTCGCCTAAACGCAAAAAAGCCAGCTCAGGGGCGGTTAATAAGACCGTGAAACAAAACAAAACATTGAACTCGGTACCTGCAGCAGTTCCGGTCAGCACAGGGGTAAGCGAGCCACCTGTACCTATGGTAACAGCCAGTTCCGGAGGTGACCCTGTCGGTGCTGACCGTAGATACAGTAGGAACCGCTTCTGGGTCCCAGCCGAGTGAGGTTCAGACTGCTGCTGGGGGGCGTAAGAAACTTTCAGTTGTTCCACATAGGAAGCAATTGTTTGTTTCTAGATTTACCCCGGATACCAAATCTGAGGATGTTATGGAATTCATACGTGAAAAATTCCCATCTAAGGACATTGAAGTTGAACAATTTCGATTTTCGTACGCCCGTAGGATATCTTCTTTTAAAATATTTGCTCCGCCTGATGTGTTTAATGTACTATTTTCTGAAAGCTTTTGGCTTAATGATGATTTGGTAATAAAAGAATTTGTTCCCAATAAACCGAGAGCAAATAACTGGCCTCCCACTGTGCCCAATAATCGGCTTTCCACTGTGCTTAATAATAGGCCTTCCGCTGTGCCAAAAAACTAACAGGTTTATTTTTGGCTTATCAAAATGTTAGAGGACTAAATATGAAGCTACCAAAGCTTTATGCTTACTCCTCTGCATTTAGTGAAGATATTTTGGCTTTTACGGAAACTTGGCTGAAACCAGAGATATCTGACCCTGAAGTTTTGTCAATGAACATTAACACCTACAGGACCGATCGCTCCCCGCGTAGGGGGGGTGGTGTACTGATTGCCGTTACCTCTAGTTTAACATCGGAGAGGCTTAACATTCATATCCCTAACGATATTGAATTTGTTAGTGTCAAAGTTTCCATTCAATCCTTATCTATTTTTGTAACCTGCTCTTATATTCCTCCTGTGTAGTATGTTCACATATCGAATGCACACTGTACTCAGTGTTACGCATCGATTTAAGTACAGACACCTTATTTGGCATTTTGCATTTGGCCACAATAACAAAACACAAATACATTTATAATCCTAGCAGTTCCCGAGTGCCCGGTTATATGACCGCCCTCGAATGCGTGGGAACTGCAGTGTCAGCATATTTGATATGTGCGACCGCTCCGACGGCCAAGTGAACATAGTATCTCTCTCTCTCTCATATATAAGCACAATTATACATAAGCGGCGACCGCAGCTCTGCCGGCGTCTCTGCCGACATAGCCGGCCGATCTTAGCTTTATGCAAACATGTAATAGAATTAAGAATTCAGATTAAAAATAATAAAGCTTGGGGAGCGTACCACTAAGTCGCTCCCTAAATTCAACAAAAATTAAAGAAATATTAAATATTGTGTTTTGTTATTAAACATGGCGACCGTGACAATGTGATCGTGAGTGAATATATCCAACTATAAAAAATAAAATAAAAATAAATAAAATAAAATGACAATGTGATCGTGAGTGAATATATGGCTCATTCCACGTGAAACGTGACAGGCCAATTTGGGTCAAATCTCAGAATCAATCGAAACTTTTTTTTTCGATAGAGGATTGAAATATAAGGATCGGTTTTTATTTTTTTTTTTTAACTCTTACCGTTTATTTAAAAAAAATAATTTTCTAATTAAGCTCCGATTTTTCAGTTATGCATCACTTGAGACTCGTTTGAGTTATTTCAATATTTGGTATGCATCTTTGTGGGATATGTTCATGTCTTTCAGAAAAATAATTTAAAAAATTTTTAATTTTAAAATTAAGTATTTTTTAAGAGAATTTAAATTTAAAAAATTCTGTACGCCGGAATACACGCGGTTTCCGAATAAAAAAATTATCCTCATATTGCTTCATCAATTCTTCACGAAGTGGTAAAATAAAATTTTTGTATTTGCAAGACCTACTAGTAAAGACAACGATTTTAGTTTAGCAACTTTGCATCAAGCAACAACAGCGCAACGTGTAAGAAGAGAACAGCAATACGAACACGGGAGAGCAGCAATAGTGCTTTCCCTTTCTTACACGTTGCGCTGTTGTTGCATGATGCAAAGTTGCTAAACTAAAATCGTTGTCTTTACTAGTAGGTCTTGCAAATACAAAAATTTTATTTTACCACTTCGTGAAGAATTGATGAAGCAATATGAGGATAATTTTTTTATTCGGAAACCGCGTGTATTCCGGCGTACAGAATTTTTTTAAATTTAAATTCTCTTAAAAAATACTTAATACTTAAAGACATGAATATATCCCACAAAGTTGCATACCAAATATTGAAATAACTCAAACGAGTCTCAAGTGATGCATAACTGAAAAATCGGAGCTTAATATAGAAAATATTTTTTTTAAAATAAACGGTAAGAGTTAAAAAAAAAAAAAAAAAAAATTTTCGATTAAACTATGAAGATTTGACCATTCCTACGTGGATAAAATTTATAGCCATATCCACTATAATATAAAAATAAACTAAAAATAAATAAAATAAAATTAAATAAAATATTAAACAAGTGAAAAAAAAAACCAAACATTAAGCATGAAGATACATTCTACGAATCCAAACAAAACAAGCAAAAAAATCCAAAAAAAAAAATATATAAAATAAAACAAAAAACAATGGTATAACAAAACAAAAAACCATTAAATTTAAAGATCACGGACACGACAACCAGCAAAGATCAAACAGTGGATATTAAACACTAACCCTAAGTACATTATTGTGTGTCTGTGCAACAGCTAATATCAAATCAAAACAAATCGATACGGAAGCGATAGGGAAAATAAGAATGAACACGAAGAAACCCCTTAACACATATTCAATGTAAATTCAAACAAAATGCTGCAGAAAAACATTATCAAATTCAATCAATAAATGTCAATGAATAATTAAAAAAAAAAAAAACTGATGAATAAAAATATATTCTCTGAAAAATAAGCCTGTGCGAGGACCTGCACCGGCGCCGCCTGAGTCCAAAGGGCCGAAAGGGAACACAAAAAAAAAAATCTTAATGAAACAATAAAAAATTATTAATCAACACAAAAAAAAAATTTGGCCTGTGCGAGGACCTGCACCGGTACCGCCTGAGCCCAGAGGCCCCGGACAACGAAAAGTTAACAAGTGTGGAAGGAATGGCAAATCCTTCTACACCAACGCTGGAAATATACAAGTGCGGAAGGCAATCCGCCTTCTTCACCTTCGTGGGCGACACTTGCTCCTATTGAGCAAAGGGATAACGATAGATGAAATAGCCTGTGCAGCCAGCACCGGTCCCGTTCGGCGCGCCAAGCCGGACCACGGAAAAGTGAACCGACAGCGCTTCCAAGAGCGCCCAACATTACTTTTTTTTATATAAATTTAAGCATCTGCGATGCAACCAATAATATTAATAATATTGTACAGACCAGGCAGTTTCTAGCTGCGGGTCTTCATTTTTTTTACCTAGGTAGGGACACCTGTAACACATATATATACATCCATAATACAAAAAAAAATATATATACATAAATGCCTAAATCAAGAAAAACAAAAAAAAAAAAAAAAAGAGGAGGACAGAAAAATTTCCTAAACCTCAAGATTAAAGAATTAAATAGGCAACTGTATGATTCAAACTCAACCCCAGTACCATGGGAAGAGAACATACAAATTAAAAAAGAATTAGAAAACACATATAGGGACACATATAGCTTATAAAAATAAGCAGGACATGAATGAAGCGAGGAAGCCTAAGTGCCCTCCTGATTGTAAAGGTCCTTTCGAAAACCCTAATTGTGAATATACATGTTCAAAAATTTAATATATATGAAAGTCTCATTTAAAAGCAATTCAATATCCAAAACAGATCTTACAGACGAGACAGAAAAAATACCCAATATGGGATTAGTAGAAGTTAAGTCAGTGGATTCCACTGCTAATGTAATAAATAAAATTGAATCACAAAATATTGATTTCAAATTAACGAATATTTTACTATCAATAATTGTTTTCTTTATGAGCGCATATATTTTATATAAGGCCTATAAGTTCCACAACAAATGTGTATCAAAGAGAGCCATTAACAGAAGCCAGGCTAATGATCTGGATAAAATCTAATTTAACAAGCGCCAAACAATATTAATAATAAAATACAAAAAAAAAGAAATTAAATTAAAACAAAAAATTAAATTCGAAACAATAATTGTATTGTATATGTACGAGAATTAAAATAACCGTTTAAAAAGAAATAAAAATCATTAAAACAAAAAAAAAAAAAAAAAAAAAAGACAAATTATTAAAATGAATACAACAGAGTGCCTTAGAGTTATATTGGCTAACGAGCCAAATTTTGAGAATAGGGTATTAGCCTTAATTAGGAACAGAGCAGAGCCTCTATTAATTGCAGATTTTGAGTATGAATACATGAATAGGTACGATCTTGAATTCTCTCCAATTATTCATTGCAGCAGAACGCAAAAGGCCGTAGTACTGTCTACCGTGAGAAACTGTAAAGTATTCTCCGAAATCGACATACACCCAGTCTTAGGACATATTAACGTGCTAAAAATTATGCACAAGTAAAAATTAAAAAACAGAAATGACTAAAAATTTAATATGGAATGGGAGCAGTTAATACTCCATATCCGAGAATTAAAAGAAACCTTTGAAAAGTCCTACAAATGTGTAAGCCAAAAAAGGCAAACACAAAAAGAAACAGTAGATAAACATGCAAAAATTCTTGTAGACTCTTACAATCAGGCAAGAACCCTAGTGCATGAAAATAGGGAAATAATTAACAAAACAAACTTATCAAAATTATCTAAAATATTGATAAGGTTGCGGGCAAACCTAATAGCTGTCAAGGATAAGTATGATTTAAAAATATATATCCCGACAATTTTAAATACGCCTTTAACATTAGACCAACAAAAAGCCCTAGCAGAAGAAGAAGATTCAGATATAAGCAAAGATATCGAAATAGATGAAAAAGATCTACACGATCTCTCAATCCCTGCATTTATTAAAGCAGTAGAGTCAGAAACAGAAGAAGAGGAAAATATAGATTCAGATACAAATATCGTAGAAACAAAAGAAAACATAATGGCAGATTCAGCAGCCCAACGGGCATATATTAAAGAAATATCAAGTGCCATTCCGGAATTTAACGGACAAAAACTACACTTGCATAGATTTGTAACAGCTTTGAAGCTGGTTGACCTGTCAAAGGGGTCGTTTGAAGATTTGGCTGTAGAAGTCGTCAAATCAAAAATTGTAGGATCTACACTATATAAGGTTAAAAATGAACTAACGATAAACGCAATAATCCAAAAACTGCAAGACACTATTGTCGGAGAAACATCTGACGTTGTCAAAGCAAAAATGGCTAAAACAAGCCAAAAAGGCAAAACTGCTGAAAAATTTACAAATGAAATAGATAACCTACGAAAGCTCCTTGAAGCTTCATACATTGACGAAGGACTACCGGCTGAACATGCCGACAAGTTCAGCACAAAGGAAGCTATAACCACAATGATCAAAAATTGTGAGCATGGCCGACTTAAGACTATCCTAGAAGCTGGCAACTTTTCAACAATGAACGAAGCCGTCACGAAGTACATACAGTGTAGTACTGAGATGACAGGCAACGCCAACTCGATCCTATACACACAAAAAGGAAACAACTATCGTGGTAATAACTTCAGAAATAATTATCGCGGTAGGGGTAACAACAGAGGTAATTATCAAAATAATGGATTTTACCAAAACAATGGTTATAACCAAAATAACGGTTATAACCGAAACTATAATAACCAGACCAACAATAACTACAGAGGTCGTGGTAACTATAGAGGAAACAACCGTGGTGGAAACAATAATGGATATAACTCCAATAACAACATCAACGGTAATAACAATACCAATACAAACGCAAACAGACAAAATACCAACAACAACGTTCGACAAGTACAAACAACTTCGGAAAACCAATAAAGACCCTTAAGATAAAAAACCCAGTAAAAAATACGGTTCACACTATCAATCTTAACTTCAATCTTTTTATTTCACTTAAAAATGAAAACACAAATAAATTATATACATTACTAGTTGATACAGGTGCAGACATCTCATTAATCAAAGAATCATCAGACTCATTTAACAATGTTGACTATAAAAATATTACGCAAATATCAGGCGTTGGCGAGGGAACAACAAATTCAAAAGGTTTAGCAGCAATAGAACTTCTATCAGGCAACTATGCTATACCACATAATTTCCATATAGTAACGTCCAACTTTCCTATTCCATGTGATGGAATTATAGGAATAGATTTTATGAAAAAATACAATTGTCAAATAGATTTAAAACCAGAAAATGATTGGCTTATACTGAGACCAGATAATCTCCGTAATCCGATTAATATTCCAATAAATCATACACTAGAAAATAATTCGACCATTTTACCAGCAAGATCTCAAGTCATCCGAAAAATAACTATAAATTCAGGAACCAGGTATATACTTATACCAAACCAAGAGATCCAAAATGGAATATTCATTGGAAATTCCATTGCAGATTCTAAAAACACCTTTGTCCGAATTCTAAATACAACAAATAAAACAGCAATTCTTCAATTAAATACACTTAAAGTCGAACCATTGGATAATTACGATATAATTAAAGATAATAAAAATACAAATAACGAAGAAATTTTAGAAAAACTTAACAAAAATTTCCCGCCTCAATTTAAAGAAATACTTAAAGAATTATGCACCAAATACACAGATATATTTGGGATAGAAACCGAACCAATATCAACCAACAATTTCTATAAACAAAAAATAAGAATGAAAGATGATGAACCAGTATATATAAAGAATTACAGAATCCCCCACAGTCAAAAAGAAGAAGTAGAAAAACAAGTGGAAAAACTAATTAAAGATAAAATAGTAGAACCATCAGTTTCAGAATACAACAGTCCATTATTAATAGTCCCGAAAAAATCATTACCAAATTGCAATACAAAAAGATGGCGTTTAGTAATTGATTACCGCCAAATAAACAAAAAAATTTTATCAGATAAATTTCCACTACCAAGAATAGACGATATTCTTGACCAATTAGGTAGAGCTAAATACTTTTCATGTCTAGATTTAATGTCAGGATTTCATCAAATAGAACTCGAAGATACGTCTCCTATCGTTTTACACGATTACCTTATGGTTTAAAAATTGCGCCAAATTCTTTCCAAAGAATAATGACAATTGCATTTTCAGGTATCGAACCATCTCAGGCATTCTTGTATATGGATGACCTAATTGTCATCGGTTGTTCAGAAAAACACATGATTAAAAATCTTACAAACGTCTTTGATCTATGTAGAAAAAACAACCTTAAACTGCACCCAGAGAAGTGCACATTTTTCAGACACGAAGTGACCTTTCTTGGACACAAGTCTACTGACAAAGGTATTTTACCAGATAGTAAAAAATACGAAGTAAAAGAAAAATACCCAGTCCCAACGGACGCAGACAGCGCTAGAAGATTCGTTGCATTTTGCAATTACTACAGACGTTTTATTAAAAACTTTTCCGATTATTCACGTCACATAACTAGATTATGTAAAAAGAATGTTAAATTTGACTGGACAGATAAATGTCAATACGCATTTGAATACCTAAAAACCCAATTGATGAAACCCACATTATTGCAATATCCCGATTTTAATAAAGAATTTTGCATAACAACAGATGCAAGCAAACAAGCATGTGGAGCTGTTCTTACTCAAGATTACGATAACACTCAGCTACCAGTAGCCTATGCATCAAGATCTTTTACGAAAGGAGAAAGTAATAAAAATACAACAGAACAAGAGTTAGCAGCTATCCACTGGGCAATAAACCATTTTCGGCCATATATTTATGGAAAACATTTCACAATCAAAACAGACCATAGGCCTTTAACCTATCTATTTTCAATGACAAATCCAAGTTCAAAACAAGAGAGAACGCTATAGTCGGGTTGTTGTCCCGACTATCTAATACCCGTCACTCAGCTAAAGGGAGTGCGAACGCTGTGTCGGGTTGGTGTCCCGACTAATAATCGTAACTCAGCTAAAGGGAGTGCGAGGGAGATAGATATATAATTTTTGATTGCGTATAACTTTTTAATGAATGGTCCGATTTGAAAAATGTCTTCTACATTTCGATAGGTATAAATATACACAACAAAATTGCATTTATACTTCTCGGAAATCGTTAAAGATGTGGGCGCAGGACCCATTTTAAAATCGTTAGTGGGCGATTGTGGGCGTTAGAGGGGGCGTGGCGCTCGGCTAAAATAAACTTGCGCTGCGTAGGAAGCCAAAGAATATGTGTGGGAAATCTCAACCTTCTAGCTTTTGTAGTTTCTGAGATCTCAGCGTTCATACAGACAGACAGACGGACAGACGGACAGACGGACATGGCTAGATCGACTCGGCTGGTGATCCTGATCAAGAATATATATAGTTTATAGGGTCGGAAACGCTTCCTTCTACCTTATACATACTTTTGCACGAATCTAATATACCCTTTTACTCTACGAGTAACGGGTATAATTAACACGAATGAGAGTAGATTTTGAAGAATATGATTTTACTGTGGAATATCTTAAGGGAAAAGACAACCATATAGCCGACGCGCTATCAAGAATAACAATAACGGATTTGAAAAATATCCAGACAAATAATAAAATTCTGAAAGTCACTACCAGAAATCAAAGTAAACAGAAAAATTCCTGCGCAGGAACAGAAAAAGAAAAAATAGATTTCCCTAGGGCTTCTCAGCCCAACGTATACGAAGTCATTGTTAATGACGAGGTACGAAAAGTAGTGACCTTGCGAATAACTGATTCACTTTGCTTACTAAAGAATGGGAAAAAGGTTATAGCAAGAATTAATGTTAGCGATTTGTACACCAATGAAATTCTCGACTTAGGTCAGTTCTTTCAAAGGCTTGAAAAAGGAGCCGGTATACTTAATATCAGCCAACTCAAAGTGGCACCGAGCGAAAAGATCTTTGAAACCATTTCAATTGAATCTTTTAAAATTATGGGCAATAAAAAATTACAAACATTAAGAGTAGCGCTACTCAAGCCGGTGACCCAATTATCAAATAATGATAAAGAGAAAGAAGCATTACTGTTTACATTCCATGATGATCCAATACAAGGAGGTCATACAGGCATAGCTAGAACATTAGCAAAAATAAAAAGGCATTATTATTGGAAAAACATGACCAAAGATATAACAAAATATATAAGAAAATGTCCTAAATGCCAAAAAGCAAAGACAACAAAACATACGAAGACCCCATTAACTATCACCGAAACGCCACAAACGGCTTTCGACAGGGTAATTGTGGATACGATCGGTCCACTACCTACATCTGAACAAGGAAATGAATACATAGTAACGCTAATTTGCGATTTAACTAAGTACCTTGTAGCAATACCAATCCAGAACAAAAGTGCAAAAACAGTAGCAAAAGCTATATTCGAAGATTTTATTCTGAAGTACGGTCCAATGAAGACGTTCATCACGGACATGGGAACAGAATACAAAAATTCGATAATTGAAGATCTATGTAAAAACTTAAATATCAAAAACATAACTTCAACAGCACATCATCACCAGACTGTAGGAACCGTGGAGCGAAGCCACAGAACATTTAATGAGTTCATCCGCTCATACATCTCAGTTGATAAAACAGATTGGGATGTATGGTTGCAATACTTCGTATACTGTTTCAACACAACACCCTCTATGGCACATGACTACTGTCCATACTAGTTAGTTTTTGGTAAAACATCTAATTTAGCCAAACACTTCAATAGTATAGATAATATAAAACCATTATATAACACAGATGATTACGCTAAAGAATCTAAGTTTAGACTAGAACAAGCATTTAAGAGAGCTAGATTAATGCTAGAATGCCATAAACACAAACAAAAACTTAACTATGACAGAAATATTTTGAACTTTGATTTAAAAATCGGAGACCAAGTTTTGCTAAAAAATGAAACAGGGCACAAGCTAGACTTTAAATACACTGGACCATATAAGGTAGAAAGTATACAAGAAAGAGAAAATATAGTAATTTCAAATAACAAAAATAAGAAGCAAACAGTTCATAAGGATAGGTTAAAAATGTTTATTTCATAATCACTTTAATTCTCTTATATATATATCACGTATGATCATACGCAATAAAAAAAATAAATAAATAAAATAAATAAATAAATAATATATAAATATTATATTACTTTTGCTTCAAAACAATACTTTCTAATTCAAAACAATTTTTAATAAGTTAAACTACATAAAAACGAAAAAAAAAGAAACAATTAAATAAAAATATTTTCATTAAATATACACCTAGAAAATAACTCCATATAATTACGTTATTTTTCAAAAGGAGGGAGATGTAGTATGTTCACATATCGAATGCACACTGTACTCAGTGTTACGCATCGATTTAAGTACAGACACCTTATTTGGCATTTTGCATTTGGCCACAATAACAAAACACAAATACATTTATAATCCTAGCAGTTCCCGAGTGCCCGGTTATATGACCGCCCTCGAATGCGTGGGAACTGCAGTGTCAGCATATTTGATATGTGCGACCGCTCCGACGGCCAAGTGAACATAGTATCTCTCTCTCTCTCATATATAAGCACAATTATACATAAGCGGCGACCGCAGCTCTGCCGGCGTCTCTGCCGACATAGCCGGCCGATCTTAGCTTTATGCAAACATGTAATAGAATTAAGAATTCAGATTAAAAATAATAAAGCTTGGGGAGCGTACCACTGAGTCGCTCCCTAAATTCAACAAAAATTAAAGAAATATTAAATATTGTGTTTTGTTATTAAACACCTGGCTCTGATTTAATAATTTATGAGCACCATCTGTCTGCTATAAAATCTGTTCTATCCTTTCTTTCCCACAGAGACCTTTTGATTGTTTTGGGTGACTTTAATCTCCCAATTTACTTTAATCTCCCTAATATCTCTTAATCTCTTCTAACTGACTCCCTTCTTCCCCCCCCCTCTATCCGCCCATGATTTTGTGGATGGCCTTTTAGAATTATCGTTACAGCAAGTAAGCTTTATACGAAATTCATTAAATAGACAATTAGATCTAGTATTTGTTTTTAGATCCGAATGAAGGTCGCACTGTAGTTAGAATTGACGCACTTGTTGTACCTGAAGACCGATATCATCCAACTTTGGAAGCTAAACAGGCCTCCTTGGTTTAACAATGCGCTTCAAAGACTTAAAAATCTTAAATCCAACACTTATAAAAAGTATAAAAAAACGGGTAAGCCATCTGATTTTGCGAAATATGTTGTGGCTCGTTCAGAGTTTAATGTTCTCAACAGTCATTGCTATTCCATGTATTTAAATCGATGTAAATTCGAGTTTTCAAATGATCCGAAGCAGTTTTATAACTTCGTTAATGCCAAGCGTAAGTCTTCGGCATTGCCTTCATCGGTACGTTTAGACTCAAAAGAGGCATCGTCGGATTCTGAAATTGCGGATTTATTTGCCGAGTTTTTCCAAACTACTTATAGTTCGGCTGCTTGTATTTTTACCCCTGTAATTACCGAAAGTTCTCTTTTAAAGGATTTAGCAACAACAACGCCAACGTATTCTCCCGGTCCTGATGGACTCCCTGGGAGTGTGCTTAAGTTTTGTGCTTCAACCATTTGTAAACCGATTCTTAAACTTTTTCATTTGTCTATTTCATCATCAGTTTTTTCAACTATCTGGAAGGACTCTTTCATTATTCCACTCCATAAAAAGGATGCGAAGGCGGATGCCCAGAATTATAGAGGCATTTCTAAATTGTCGGCAATTCCTAAAGCATTTGAATGTATTATTACTTCTCATTTGCAGCATTTATGTTCCTCGCTAATATCACCGTGTCAGCATGGTTTTGTTAAGCGAAGATCGACCACCACCAACCTTCTTGAATTGTCATCTATTGTAATAAATGTAATCTATTAACTTGGATTTCAAGTTACTTGAATGGTAGGACTCAGAGGGTTATATTTAAGAGCGCTGTTTCTAAAATGACCAACGTGACATCTGGAGTTCCTCAAGGTAGTCATTTAGGCCCTTTGCTGTTTACTTTGTTTATTAACGATCTTCCCTCTATCGTTGCTCATTCTCGTGTACGCTGACGATGTTAAGCTTTGTTTATCATATAAAGATGTAGGGTCCGGTTTCAACTTACAGTCAGATATTGATTGTTTTCAGGGATTGTGTGAGTACAATCTTTTAAATCTGAACTGCCTTAAATGCAACGTTATGACTTTTTATAGGGGTACTCCTACGTTTATTAGTTATTCTCTTCAAAATACACCACTCGACCGTATATATTCAATTAACGATTTAGGTGTTCTTCTCGACCCAAAACTTAAATTTGATTGCCACATAATGGCCACAGTCAATAAAGCTATGAGTGTTTTTGGGTTTATAAAGCGTTGGTCAAAGGAATTTGATGACCCTTATACAACCAGATTATTATATACCTCCCTTGTCCGTCCTATTTTGGAATATTGTTCTTCAGTTTGGAGTCCACAATATCAAGTGCACATCGACCGTATTGAGTCGGTGCAAAAAAAATTTCTTCTTTTTGCCCTTTGTAGTTTGAACTGGGATCAAAACGTAAGGCTACCTTCCTACCAGAGTAGATTAATATTGCTTAATTTACCTACACTTGAAAACCGTAGAATAATGCTTGGTACTATTTTTATGCAAAATCTTATAAGAGGTGATATTGACTCCGTAGAACTGGTAAACCGTTTAACTTTTAATGTTCCCGTTAGACTAACACGAAATTATTACCCTCTTAATTTACCTCGATGTACATCAAATTTTACTCTGCATGAGCCCTTTCGTGTTCTATGTAAAAATTATAACAATCTTTATCATTTAATTTGCACTTCAACATCTATCCCCGTATTAATAACTAAAATTTTATCCCATTTGCTTCAATCTTAGTTGTAGTATTTGTAGTATTTGTTTCATGTATTGCCCTAATTGATAAAGGGTCCCGCGCGTAACAAGCACGTGCTTGGTATCGTTGGGCCACTTGTTTGTACTGCTCGTAGTCCATCAACGACCATCATATATATATATATGGGCACTTCCAAAAAAAAGTCCACCAAGCCAAAAACCTTGAAACTTGAATAAAACATATTTCTATATGATTTTGCCCCGATATTAGTTTCTAATTAGTTGGATACTGAGCTTCACTACAAATTTGGAGTATAGTTTGATTATTTTATTGACAAACCCCACCAATATGCGCAAAAATCAGTTTTTGGCTATTTTTTTTGTTATTTTTTGGACCTGTCTTCTGTTGTTAATTTATCCTATAGGAATGCTAATATGTGACATTTTTCTGTACTAAATGATTCATTCACATGCTAAACTATTAAGTTAAAAGCAAAACATCCAGCAATTGAGAGATAGAGGTAAAGAAATCCGCTTTACAAAACAGTCGGAAAAAATGTCCCGAGCGACATGTCCCGAGCGAATGTGGTTGAAACTGCATAAAAAAAAAACGGCAAAGAATTTTTAAGTAAAACTAAAAGCATTTCACAGCGACGATTCGGTAGTTTTTAACCGATATCTTAAAAACTAAAAGTGGTACAAAATCAAGATTTTTACCAAAAATAGAGCTCGGGAAAAGTGAAAAGAAAAGCCCATAATTAAAATTAAAATCCATTGTTTTACAATTTTTTTTTCAACTTTAAAGGTGTGCAAATGTCCCGAGCGACATTTTGGAAGTGCCCATATACAATTCACATTTAAAGCTAATATTAAATAGATGTTTACATATGTAAGAATTTAGGTAATTGTAAATTTGACCCGGTAAAGAACTTAAAGTTACCTCAGGGGACAGGATATCAGACAAAGTATTGTATTTATTGCAAGGGACACGAAACGGTTCATGTTGAGTATAGTATATATTGGTAAGCGCAAAGGTAGAAACGAGTGAGTAATTTGCCATTACAAATTCGTCGATGATATAGAGAAGGCATGTCAATTAGCTGTAGCCTACTTCGGTAAGGGCTAGTACTCAACCCAACAAAAAGTCGTCCAAACAAAAACTTCATATGAAACAAAATTTTTTGACGTTGTTTTTCCTATGAAGTTTTTTGTTTTGGACGACTTTTTGTTACCCTTACCGAAGTAGGCTACAGCTGATTGATATGCCTTCTCTATATCATCGACGAATTTGTAATGGCAAATTACACACTAAGCATATTTGCATACATAGTTTTCGAGTTTAAGGGGTGGTATTTGTGCAATCGCGGTTTGAAAAAAGTAGCAACATTTAATGTTTTAATTTAAGATTTCTTCGAGGGTCTGTCAGTTGTAATAAAACCTATGCCAAAAAATTGCTTAAATGCACTTTTACTTAATTGCATTTAAGCAAAGAGTATACATTATACAGAGGGCGCATAACTCTGATAATTCTGTTCACACTGTTGTCGGCAAGGGGAAAAGGGTAATGAGCTTGTTCTATTTTTAGGTTTCGTTTATTGAATACACAATGCATAAGTGTAAGTGGGCTTTGTGTGCAACGTGGCAACACATTTTGGACCAAATTTCATTTTTGTCATATTGATAATCGAGGGCCAACAACTTTTAAAATTCGAAAAGGGTTTTCTGCCCACAACATCCAACTCGGTCTACGGTCGTGCTGGCTAAAGCGTTGATCAGCGATGTTGATGCGTGTTCGATCCCCGCAAGGGGCAGACGTTTTCTAATATTGCTTTTTTTTGTCTCTAAATATATTTATTTTATTTTATTATTTTAGTTAATTAAGCTTTAAAGCTACAAAATAATTCATGAATATTACAAAGGCTAATTTCTAAAATATATGTAATATATTTAATATTTTTTTAAGATCTATCTATTTACTAATAGTGTTACCCTTTGATGATCAATATTATTATAGGTTTTATAACTGTTAAAAGATTTATTTTAAAAATCACACTTTAACAGTTATTTTCTGATTTGTAAAGTAAAACTCAAAGAATAACTGTTATTTTTTGAGTTTTATAATAAAAGTTGACAAATAACAGTTATTCGTCGTGATCAAAAATAAAACTCAAACTTGATTTTTGGCGATTTTGTGGGCAAAATAAATTTTAAAAATAAATAGTTATAAAATATGCGCGGTTGCCTTTTTTAATAAATTTTTAGTAAGTTATATAAAACATGATCAGCATGTTTTTTTTTTAATTATTTCATTTTTCAAAAATGTCAAGGGAATCACTGTTATTCATAAAAATTACGGATTTGTAAACTACAATGGCTAATAATAATAGTGGTGTATTTAAACAAATTTTTTGACCCCTCTAAGTCCGTGATTTTTTTTTGTAAGAAAAATTTACAATAACAGTTATTTTCGGTCCCTGATCAATAGTAATTACAAAATAGAAAAAAAAAAACAAAACAAAATTAAAAATGCTCCTAAAAAACAATACAAAAACACAAAAAAAAAATAATAAATACTCTTAAGCTAGGAACACACGATTCAAAAAAATTGCAGCAAATAAGTTTGCAGCAATTTGCTGCAATCAACTTTCCGTTTGTTAAATTTAAAGTAGGTTAAAACCTTGAAATCGAATGGGAAATCGGAGTTTGAACCCTACTTTAAATTTAACAGGCGGACGAGAAATCGGCCCCAAAAAAAAAAATGGTTGCCCTCGCAAGAAATCGAAATTCTACAGCGGGATTCGATCCCCGTACCGCTTAGATTGGTAGTCAGATGTCTTATCCACTAGGCCAAATGGCAAACAGTGCCGCGGCCTACTAGATTCCAACTAGAATCGAGCAGTGCGGGTTCTACCGTTAAACTGCGGGTTCCACCGCTAGAACCCGCCATACGACA